CGGTGCAGGGGGAGGGGGAGCGTGGTGGGAACACTGCGTCCTCCAACAGCCCTGGGCAGCTGCTGAGGAGCTTCTGTAAATCAGAGCGGCCACTGGAGCTGCTCCAAAACCCACCCAACGCCCTGGAGGCCATCGAGCATCCCACAACAAGGGGATGCGAGAGCATCCCATGCCCCCCTCTTAAACCCATCAGCCTGGCTGGGCTCCCCCTGCCCTGAGCTTCGCTCCCGGGGACATTGCCACCCCGTCACCATCCGCCCATCCTCCGCAAGGCACCTGGCTGCGCTCCATCCCTTCCCGCGGCTCAGCCAAGGCAAGCAGCGCTCCGGGATGCTCGGCACATGCCTTAAACAAACAAAAATAACCACGACAGAAGATACCGAGTGCCTAACGCTGGCCTCGGCTCAAACACCTCCCGTTTCGCCATGCTCCGGAGTCAGCAGGAGCTCATCCGACGAGGGCGGGCATCGCGCAGGTCCCCAGCCAGCCGCCGAGAGCAGACGCGGCCCTGGCGGCGTGGGCTCTGGCTCCAGCAATAAATAAAGCGAGCAAACAAAACAAAGCAAAAAAAGCCAACAATGATAATATTTTTGGGTTTTTTTTTTTTTAATTTTAAATATTTCTTTTTCTTTAAAATCTGTTTTTCCTCTGGGGCTGTGTCTCTGTAAAGAGCTGCTCTCTCCCTGCAGCGTCTGGGGTCCTTCCTCAGTCCTGGCCGTGGGGCAAGGGAGAAGCAGGGTCAGTTAGAGAGGGGGACGGGTGGGCGCTCCTCCCCGTGCATCACCGGCACGTGTGGATTTCCACCACCCGATGGCAGGGTTTGCACTTGACGGAGCAGCACCAGTGGAATTTGCAGCTGCACCTTTCCACAACCTCCACTTCGTCCGTGTGAAAGCCCCGGCCGCAGCACATCAGCTCACAGCCGTCGATAGCCTTGGAGGTCTTGTTGCACTGCCGGCCACTGGTGCCCAGCACCCCGTTCTTGAGGTCGTGGTCACAGAAGTCGGGACTGGAGTCCAGGTAGACGAGGTCCTCGTCCGTGTGCGGCTTGAACTGGGAGTTTTTGGGCACCAGCACTTTGGTGGATCCGATCTCGCTCTGCTCGACCTCCGTGGCACCGTCGAACTTCTCCTTCAGGACGTTGCCCACTTTGCGGAAGGGCGGCATGGCTTTCCAGCACGTCTTGAACTCGCACGAGCCCGACACGCCGTGACACTTGCACTCCACCCGCATGTTGTTCAGGATCGCCTGGAGGAACAGACACGAGGAACAAGATGGGACCATCAGCTCGGGATGGACACAGCAAGAAGGGTGCAACGTAGCAGGGTTGTGCAGAAAGCGACGCTGATGTACGCGAGCTGACGGGATTAAATGAAGCCAAAAAGGCTCAAGCAATTGCTGCGGAGCCACACCAGCTGCCTCAGTTTCCCCCTCACCATTACCTTCCTCCCCGCCTCGTTGTTGTGGAGGTTCATTAACGCTCTGTTGGAAGAAGCCCCTTTGCTCCTCTCGCGGACGTCGACGAAGGACTGGGAGAAGGCCACGCCGTAGGCGATGTTGTCAGAGCAGCCCGACCACTGGAAGCCTAAGGCAGAGCGCACGGATGAGACAGATTACAGCCAGCCCGCCTTGCCCATCCTCTCCAGCCCGGCTCCTG